GCAGATGGAGTTTCTGCCTAGAAAGGAGGGGGAGGTAGGAAATATGTTGAACTCAGAATTGCTTTAATTCTTAGGTTAAAAGCTTTCAAGATTACATCTTAGAAAACGAAAATACAAAATATATAGTGCAGATACAATTAGACTGCTAATATCTTTTCTGTGTGATCTGAAGACAGAATATAGAAAGGGATTATACCTGAAACAATATATACCAAGGAAGTCTACCCTTCAATTACTCAACTTCTGAAAACAAAAAATAATGAGTAAGTGCACTGTTAGAATAGCTTCCTGACAATAAAAAAGGCCCAGAAACAAAGAAATCTGCTGGGATTTGTTTCAGTTTTTGTTTGTTTAGTTTTGTATTTTAGTTACTGCACTGAATTTACAACAGAAATTCAGAATAAATTCCACATGAACTCAAAATACAGGACGTTAGCTATCTAGAGAGAATGCGAAAAACAGCTTCTAGAAGCCTTGATATTACAGGAACAGTATTTTTCTGGACCATGATTTGTTTCTTTCTGTTCTTCAACTGGAATATCTACAAATGACCAACAGAAGCAGGTTATTCCTTTCTTGCTGCATTATCAGAGAAGCTACATAGTTAAATACTTGTATCCAGAAGAACTTGGTTAAATTAAACACTGCTGCCTAGTTGGAAATAACTGAAAACTCACCACCACACAAAAAAGGCTTCTAAGTAGATGAAGAAAAGACAGGAACCATCAAATATTATCTCATAACCAGATTACCATTATGTTCTTAATGCCTCATTTCTCTGTTACATCAAAATGAAAATTGTATTAAACAAACAAAACCTTTTCTTGCGAAGTACATCAATGTGTATCCCAAAGAGGGAGAATTAAAGAGATCTTGTAGTAAAATACTGATCATTGAGAATCCAATTTTGTGCTTGCCATTATAAGAATATAACTGTCATGCAAATTTTAATGATAATCAGACAGAAGAGATACTAGAGTATAATACTCCTGTTGATAAATGCTTCTGTATAATCCCTAATGATATATAGTACTTTGAAGATTGTTACTTTTTTTTTTTAATTTTATATATGTATTTATATATTTTAAATTACTTAGACATTTAAACAGTCCAAAACATCTATTAGAATAAGGTATAGAATTTTCAAATATATTCTAATTCATCACTTTTTCAATAAAGCCACTAAAGCAATAGTGAACTAATATACAAGGTACAGAATACCATTTGCTGTTATTTCTCATCATAAATTCACATTCTTCTGAAGCACAGGTTTTCTTAACTGCTTTCTCCCCTCTTATATTACAAGCTCTTTGTAAAACCAGATGATATGGGGAGTTATATTACCCCAAATTACCGTAGTTATTTGATGGTCAGCTAAGACTATTTCAACACAAATTACTCCAAGGAATCATATAAATGTCAAAAATCTTTTTTAAGTCACCTGATGCATTACAATCTTGCAACAACTACTTGCAGAGTACCTGGAATCATTTGCATTTCCTATTTTAAGTCATTTAGGAAGTTTACCTCAAAATGTGTTTAGCTTTCTTAACAAGCAGAAACCATCACTAAGTAATATTAATGGAGATGATTTAGCTCCTGAACAAGGTGAAAAAACATTCAAAGTCATTAAAAATAATCAACAGACCACTCCACACACACACACCCCAAGAACCAATGCTCATCAGTCAAAAGTAAAATAAATAAACAATTTCCAATTAAAAAAAAATACTGCAATTACATTCTCAATTACACTGAGAATCCTGGAGACAGAGCTGCAAACCACTTTATCTAAATACATGCAGTTTTATTACCTCTTTTAAAACCTTCATAATAACAGGGAGTAGGAAGGCCGCTGTTTTTCCTGAGCCTGTGTCTGCACTAGCCACAATATCCCTCCCTAACAGACCAACAGGAATCATTTGCATTTGGATGGGAGTTGGGACTTCATAACCAGAATTCTTTAAATTGCTGTTTAAAGTTTCAGGAAAACCACAGTGTTCAAACTCTATAATGGGTCTTGGAACTTGCTGGCCCTGGATTGCAATACCTAACTGCAGTTTAAGGTTCTCAACCTGCTCATCTTGCAAGCCTAAAATAAAGGAGTGATCTTTGTAGAAATAAGGGGTATTAAGCAGGTCAGCTTCTGCTTGAGATTCTGCTTTTGTGGGCTGATCAGATTTCAGCTTTTTCTCCTTCTCTTGAATTTGCAGAAGGTGTTTGGCTTTACACTCCAGGCTACAAATATCTTCATCTGTTTTATCGCAGATATACTCTCCGTATCGACCACAGACAACACATACAGGTTCTCCAGGCTCTGCCCAACGCTGGGATTTGCTGAAGGATTTTATGGGCTCTTCCAAAGAGCCATCTTCATTGGTATTTTGGTTGTCCTTTCCCAAAGATGTATTACCCAAACCAAGATTTGATGGAATAGCTACAGGTTCTGTGCATTCTTGTACAAGTTCATTCGAATCGCATCTTGAAGCAGAAGTTTCTGTTGTAACTGATTTACAGTCTTGGAGCTCAGCATTCTCCTCTAACAAAGGTTTTCCAGAAGACAACTTATTTTTCTTAGCTGTACAAGTTTTGTCCTCATCAGCACTCCTCTTGACTTTAACAGATCTTGGCAAAAACATGTTTCTGTACAGTGGAAAGAAAATTGTTAGATGTTAGAAACTACTATCACTGAGAAAGGTAAGAAGTTGAAGAAATAAACTTTCAAACCTAGGAACCAACCCTTAATCCTCAACAAGTTGTAGGAGGATAATCCTTTAAACGATTTTGGTCTTTGCCATGTTGATATAATGTAAAGTAATACTTTAAAACAAAATGGAAGCATGGAACAAAACAGAGACATCCACCTAGCTTCTGATATGAAAAAAAAAAAAAACAAACAAACAAAAAAAACTTTTCATTTTCACTATCTACAAACTTAGTTAGTCATATTGAAATGCTCAGAAAGTTTTGTTCCTAAAATGACACATAGACGCAAAATACCCACTCTAGTTTAGTTTAGAAAATTGTTAAAAACAAACAAAATCATCAGTCTTGAAACTGACATGAAATTTATCATGACACCCTCCCAAGATCACTACTTTTGTTGTCCTTTTCAAAGTTCACCCAAATTTGGTAAAGCTGTAAACTTTGCAATCCACTTGGGGTCCAGCTCTGTTCAGGGAATCAAAGAAAAAGCAAACACCTACGTGACCTATTTGCTAAGCCCCTGCTGTAATACAAGGAAGCTGAATTAAGTGCCCATAAGTAATTGTAACAATATATTCTGAAACTTGACCCCAAAGAGTCCTGGTGAATGGAGTCAAATCCAGTTTGAGGCTGGTCACTAGTGGCATTCCCCAGGGCTCCGTGCTGGGGCCAGTCCTCTTTAATATCTTCATCAATGATCTGGACGAGGGCATTGAGTGCAGCCTCAGTAAGTTTGCAGATGACACCAAGTTAGGTGCGTGTGTCGATCTGCTTGAGGGTAGGAAAGCTCTGCAGGAGGATCTGGATAGGCTGCACCGATGGGCTGAGGTCAACTGCATGAAGTTCAACAAGGCCAAGTGCCAGGTCCTCCACCTGGGGCGCAATAACCCCAAGCAGAGCTACAGGCTGGGAGAGGAATGGTTGGAGAGCTGCCAGGCAGAGATGGACCTGGGAGTGATGGTTGATAGTCGGCTGAATATGAGCCAGCAGTGTGCTCAGGTGGCCAAGAAGGCCAACAGCATCCTGGCTTGCATAAGAAGCAGTGTGGCCAGCAGGGCTAGGGAGGTGATCGTCCCCCTGTACTCGGCTCTGGTGAGGCCGCACCTCGAGTACTGTGTTCAGTTTTGGGCCCCTCGCTACAAGGACATGGAGGTGCTCAAGCGAGTCCAGAGAAGGGCAACGAAGCTGGTGAGGGGCCTGGAGAACAAGTCCTACGAGGAGCGGCTGAGGGAGCTGGGCTTGTTCAGCCTGGAGGAGGCTCAGGGGCGACCTTATTGCTCTCTACAGGTACCTCAAAGGAGGCTGTAGCGAGGTGGGGCTTGGTCTGTTCTCCCACGTGCCTGGTGATAGGACGAGAGGGAATGGGCTTAAGTTGTGCCAGGGGAGTTTTAGGTCGGATCTTAGGAAGAACTTCTTTACCGAAAGGGTTGTTAGACACTGGAACAGGCTGCCCAGAGAGGTGGTGGAGTCACCATCCCTGGAAGTCTTTAAAAGACGTTTAGATGTAGAGCTTAGGGATATGGTTTAGTGGGGACTGTTAGTGTTAGGTCAGAGGTTGGACTCGATGATCTTGAGGTCTCTTCCAATCTAGAAATTCTGTGAGTTCTGTGAAAACGTCAGATGCTCTCAGTGATCATTCGGTATAGCACAATCCACAAGCAAAGCACAAAATACTGTAACTTTACTCGGAACAAATCATGCCATGCACACCAATCCGTCAGCGCCTTTGCACACCAGTTTTCTAAAGGCAAAGGAAGCCACCCCCGTGTTTACAGAGAGCTTTTTGTCCCCTGTGCGATTCAAAGCAATTCTGAACGAGGAAGGACCATCAGCGACGCCGGATTAGCTAAAACCGCCGCCCGGGCACACGGGCCGATGCCGAGGGGCCTCGGGGAATGCCGCGCCCCGCTCGCTGTCTGGCTGGGAGCCAAATTCCCCCCGCTGCCCCCCTCCCGGGCCGCCAGCCGTCCCCCGCCCTGCCCGCACCCCCACCTCCGTGCTGCCAGGGGGAGCCCGCCGCCTCTGCCTCCTTCCTCCTTCCTCCTTCTCCTCCTCCTCCTCCTCCCCGTCACACAGCAGCGACACCGCCTCCCGCCCCGCCGCCCGCCTCCCCTCACAAAATGGCGGCGGGCGGGGCGAGCTGAGGGAAGGGAGAGCCGAGGGAGCGGGGGGCGGCCCGCCGGGAGGAGCGGTGTCGGGCCGCCTCGGGGCTGCCTGAGGTGCCGCGGACACACACCGAGTTATTCGCAGAACACATCACTGCGTGTGACAGAGGCGCAAAATACGCTAAATAAATGCCTAGCACGTCTATTTACCCACTTAAAACAGGTGCAAGGGCATGACAGAGCTGTTCATATATGGCAATCAAGGAAATGACTTTATTTCAGTAATAAGCACACTGTACTTATCCTGTTGCTATGTCACACTGGAGAACACCAGAATTTATCACATTTCGCAGAAGGGCAGCAGCAGCTTTCAGAAAGTTGGTGACCACCACCACTGCCTTCCTGCTAGCAGCTGATAAATGCTGGCAGCCCATCCGCCAACTTTTGTGGCAGTCAAGTGGACCAGAGGAGCCGGGAACAGTGTTCAAACATGCACACAAAGCTGGGGCAGGCGGGCAGGTGAGGCACCCCAGCAGCAGTTGGCCCTGTGCTCTGCACCTCTGAGGATCCAGTCACGCTTACACAGCGGCTTGGCCTACGCTACGCTGGATTCCATTGTGGTGGATTTCTCACAGGAGCAAGGTCAAGCTTGTGCACATGGGAGGGTTTGGTCTGAGGGATTTTTAATTATCTGGTACAACTAGAGGACACGGTTAAGATATTGGAAAGATTAAATAGATATTATTAGAACCGAAAAAGTTCTAATAGAAAGTTCTAAAAGTCAAGACGCTCTTTACCCACACTCCTTGCATTCTTCATTGCCTGAAAATCTCCACCTTTCCCTAATTCAGCCTCTGTCATTCCTCTTTGTTTGCACTGACTTTTTTCCCTCCCAGAAAGCTTCTACCATGGAGTAATTTCCTGTTCTTACTTCCATTTTTGAGCAGTCCTTTCCAGAAATTCAAAACATCATTTGCTAAATAAAGACCAATATTTGAACAATATTCAATATGCTTCATATTCTATAAAGACCATATACATATGGGATGTTTTATTTGGGGTATCAGCTATTTCTACTTCTTTGCTAACAGTAGATTTCTGTGACAGAAATGTTAGCCTAACAGAAACAAGTGAATATAAAGAACATTAAAATAACTTTTTATAATAGTAAAATCACTTGTTTGTTTTGCAGAAAGCTACCATTCTGCCTCAACCTGCCATGAGAGAAAAGTTCTCGCTTCAATTACACCCAAACTCCTAAGATCAGCTAATACCAACCACACATAGCACAGCTCCTTACTGGTTTTGTTCTTCGTGCATATTCCTGACGCTCTGAGCTGCCAAGTGCAGAAGGAGTAATGTAGCTGGTGGGTGTATTCCGTGATTCATTTTGGGATGCATGACTTGCAGTTTTTGCTCAACACCGTATTTGTTCCACGAGAACGCTGTTTGGTTAATAATGGATACTTTCTGATTAGGTACTTTTTTTATCATAATTTTGGAGACGCACATGTTACGTTGCATTTTTAACACCACTGTTATGTAACACCCAATTATAAATATAACACAAATGGAGCTTGTCCAAACAGAAACCCTGTCTTGACTGTTGTTAATACACGTTCTATTCCTCTCACTTTCCCAAGCTTTAAAAAGAATGCTGAAAAATATAAGAATAGATAACCTTGGCAAATTTCATTCCCATTCTTCCAGCTCTTGATGCTGCTAATGACATCTAAATAAAATTTTGAACTTCAAGTTTTGTACCTCTAGAGTTCACCAGATTGTACAAAATATGCCCAGATAAGATACCCTTAAAAATCCTATGGGAGTTTTGTCTTGGTATCCTTCCTCCTGAAAACTAGTTAGTTCAAACACTCGCTGAACTACGTTGGTTTTAAGTCCTGTTAGAAAGCCATTAATAATTAGGACAATCATTTAAGCATATTCTGCACAATTTATCCAGGGATATCTTTATCAAAAATCTTAAGGATTCCAGGTCATGTTAAAAAAATAGTACTAGCATCTGGATTTTGTGTAGTCACGTTGTTATTTTTTAAAGCACTAAAACTTTACAATTGCCTTGTCTTAGCAGTGAAATGAGCATCACTACTCTATGCTGCATGTGTTACAGTACAATAGCTGCTACAAAAATTATCATGTGTGGTTACTAGAAATCCATCAAGTATTGTTATTAAAAATCCCTGTCCAAATATACCCCTTATCTAATTAATATGACTCTTGAGAGTAACTTCTTAAACAAATATTAGGAGTTAATGTTATAGCAATGTAATAGAGCACACACAAACCCACATGTGCAAACGAGCTAATGCATACTGACACAGATTCACCACAACAGATAATTCATAAATTTATACAATTTTCTGTTGGAATAGTGAAGATATTCACTACAGACGAAAAGGTAAATAATGAAAACTCGTTCAAACACAAATTACCAACATTAAAGGATGCCACTTTTTGTTCTATTTTAAATGATACCAAGAAGATTTTTCCATGTTCATTCATGGCTTCCATATCAAATACACAGAAAGCAAGTGTGGCATCTTGGATTCCTGCCTTCAAGTTAATACCAGATACTTTGCCCTACAGTTTCTAACATCTCACAGCCCTTCTATAGAAGAAGTATGAACAGACTTTTTGCATCACTTGTAAACAGTAAATAATTCAGTAACACAAGACTGGATTAAATCAGGAGACTAAAATCCCTCTATTCCCAGGCATGTTCAGAAGAAACAGGTGTTGTGCATAGTAAATCAGAGATGGTATCACAAGCATTTCAAGGAGCTGCTTAGCTGTAGCAGCTCTCCACAGTGATACCTGCCCAGAGCAACCCCTATTAATTAAAACCTCTACCAGAACACAACCTGTAGGCAGCTTTCCAAGAATCTGGCAAGAAAGGTATTCACAAGTTCCTTACAGGGTCTGATTAACATATAAATACACCTCAAAAGGTACGTGTCCAAAATGTTTTAATACGGTACATTTTAAGTTTTCTTTGTAGCGAAAATACCCTCATGCAAAGTCTGCATCTTCGAAATGGAGTGAACTCCCAGTGTAGGTAAACATACTGAGAATGGACTCAAATTAGTGTCAAAATAGAGCCTAACACGTCACTCCCTCAAGTGGCAAGTGGCAGTACTGACAAATCTAAAAATTAAATTATGCCTCAAAAGAATGTATCAAGGGTGGTATTTTAGGTTTTCTTTATGGTATTATTTTAATTGTCTGCATATGTATCCTATGGATCAGGATAAAGAGCAAGAAATTCACAATGATGTCACTTACAGAATGATTCCCTGCAATTAAAAAAAAAAAAAAGCACATGCCACAGCACCTATATGTGGTGGCAACAACACATCTGCTGGTAGGGGGAAAAGGAAGGAGGCTGCCTTTCAGACCACATGGAATCAAACACACCTTTAGGGATTGGCCCTTTGTCTGCTCAACCTGATGCTACAAAATTCTTGTTTTTGTTTGCTTCTTTCGTGTTTAGGGATTTAGAAGCCATTTTGCAGATTTGTAGGTAAGGTAGTCAACAGCAGCTCAAAGCCAAAGCATGCTTAATGAATAGTTCTTTGACTGAATGAATCAGTGAGTCAATGACTCCACTGGTTTCTGAATTACAGCTTTGAAGCAACCACACAGGAAAAAAAAAAAAAACTAGATAATCTAAAAATAAACAATGGTAGCTAACCATTAACTAGTCAATTTTGCTATTATTCATATAAATTGTCCTGATGTAGTACTGACATTTAACACACTACATTTATTTTGAGGCCCAGATTTATTATTTTTTTTTAATTTTGCTTAATGCAAACAGGCAACTCCTGTTAGTAAATAATCAGTAAAAAATCAGTAAATAATAAGTAAAAGAAAGCCTGGACTAAGATTTTTAGGCTTCCTGAGCATTCTTTGTTTGAATAGCCACTTTCTATGGAGACACTGGTTGACATTAGTCTCTGCAGAAATTTGCAGTAAAATTGGAATTAATGCAAGTCTATTTAAATCTGAATACTTAAAGTATATTACTGAGCTGTGGGTTTGTTTGTTTTTAAAAAGCAAACAGCAGTCCTACCCTGAAGCTCTGGCACTGAATGCCAGATTCCCACAGGTACAGAATGTATTGATTTTTCTGTGCTAAGCCTGCCAGATGAGAAGCAGTAATCATCACCTATTTCTGCTATTTGTATTTTTGTTTTACTTCTTGTTTCTCCTTTTATTTCATTTACTGCTTCTTGTTTTACTTAGGAGTTCTAAATGTCATGTTTACAAAACACACTGCTTCTGGGCTTCTCAGCTTGGCTTTTTTTTTCTGTCATCAGTTTTTTCCTCTATTAATGTTACAGATCCAACTATTACACTGTACAATTCCTTAGGTGGCTAGAGTAAATTTTTATTCATGTTTTTCCATTATGTGACTGTGACACTAGCAGAGATCCACAGAAGTATTCTACAAAAGGTAGATGACCTATGTTTGACGTGCATTTCTACCTCCCTCCCCAATAAACCCTTTCCAACCATATTGCCTCTTAAGAGATGAAGCCCTTTTCTCGTTAACCAGCAAGTCCAATAAACTTAAGAGTTTATGCTCTGGTATGTTGCATTTGCACTACAGGGACAGTTGTGATCCATTACTGTGGCAGGCTGAAAAGAAAAATCCATTATAAGCTTTTTGAATAACTGGATAAAAATGTCCATGACATCACTAAAGCTCTTACCAGCATTACTAATTTTGAAAACAGAAATCGCTGGACTAAGAATGCACTGGGAAACATGCAAGGGAGCTGCTAGAAACTAGACTTTTTACCAGTCTTGTTTAAAATCTATGCCAATACTAATCATTGCGTTTAACCTTATTTCCCTACAATACGTTTTGTCCTATTCTGCCTACCCATGAAGGCCTACTTGAATCCTTCACACAGAAATTATTAGAGGGCACAGAAAGGCTCTAAATGAATCTACAAAAGCTAACTCACTGCTGCCAGGGTAGAAGGCAAATTCAGGCTGTCTTTGCTGCTGACTGCCAGCTGCCACTCCTGGCTTTGGCAGCCAGTGGCAGCTGTTACAAAACAGAGGAGCCTTCCAGTGCCTGTACTTTCTGCTAGCGGCTGGCTAGGTGGCTACACAGCTCTAGGATTCAAGTCTCAAAAGCTTCCTTTATGTCAGTCTGCTACTGCTCAGAGTGACTGTTACTGTTGGGCTCTAGCCTACAGATTTTTAAAATCTAAAACGTTACCCTTTACACAGAGTATTCAATGCAGTCTTAATAGTTCAATTAAAAAAAAAAAAACACTTCAGGGATAATTTTTTCCACTGACTCACCGTGAAGATCTCTGACGTTCATTTTGCAGACCTGTAACTTATTTGGCATTCTTCTCACTAGCAGAAATCTTTGTCACGTGCTAAATACTTTGTACATGACTTCCAAGCAAAACAGAGGATGAAGTAATTGTGACTAATTTACCTAAATAAATTTGCATCTTCAGCTAAAATCCTTTCCAAAAGCATTTTCTTGCAATATAGATACCTGGTCACTGAGCCGACCCTTTGTCCATGACTTTTTAACAGAAAAGTATACCAGAGCTCAAAAGGAAAACATTTTATTACTTTCATTTATCTCCAAAATATGTGCATCATTTTCACTGCTCCTTCCCTAGAAGTGTTTCTTTCCTGTTTACTTCTTTTACACAGAGAAGAGAATGAGCAAAACAACTGTTAACATTTGCTATGGCTAACACTCATTTTTTCCCATAACTTTTTTCATAAACACCATATGCATAAATTTGAGAAGCTAGAAAAGCAGGGCTAGAGCCTCCTGCCAGTTCCTCTGTACTAAATAATGTATAATCACTTGCCCAAAGGTTTGTTTGTTTGTTTTCCTATCACCTGTGAGGCCATGGTTTTCATTAGCTGTAACAAATAACATAGTGGTAAAAAAGTAATCTGGATGTGGCCTTAGCAGCATTACCTTTCTGTCCTAATAGCCAGAATACACAATAGAGTGTATTCTGCAGCTGCACCAATACGGACAACACCTAACTCCATGTAGAACCTATCAACGGAAAGCTACCATGCTGAAATTTGAAATGGAAAAACAATTTTATAGTGGACAAATGGTTTGCATTATATAGCACTGTTAGTGCCAGCAATGATTCAGTGTCATTTAACTAAGACTTCAAATATAGTTCTGCCCCTTTAGTTCTTCATATAATCATTTTGTAAGTATTTCTATGCGAAGATGAAATAAGATAGCTTCCCGTGTAGTAGAACTTC